CGGACCTCCCTGCCTTCAGCCAGTCCTGAACTCCAACCCCAGCTCGTCCCCGAAGTCTTTCTCAAATACCTGCCCATGTGACGCCATCTTCTGAAATGCCACAGCCCGTTTGGCTTCATACGTCTCGGTGCTTTTCAGATTCTTTCTCATGGTGTCAGGAAAGGTCACTTTTTTTTTTTTTTGAGACGGGGTCTTGCTCTGTTGTCCAGGCTAGAGCATAGTGGCATGATCATAGTTCATTGTGACCTCAAATTGCAGGGCTCCAGTGATCCTCCCACCTCAAGCCTCTTTTTTTTTTTTTTGAGTTGGAGTCTCACTCTGTCGCCCAGACTGGAGTGCAGTGGCTGCTCCCGGCCACTGCAACCTCGACCTGCTGGGCTCTGGCGATTCTTCCGCCTTAGCCTTCCAAGTAGCTGGAACTACAGGTGCACGCTACCATGCCCAGCTAATTTTTTAAAAAATTTATTGTAGAGATGAGGTCTTGCCAAGTTGCCCAGGCAGGTCTCGAACCCATGGGCTCAGGCAATTTACTCACCTCAGCCTCCCAAGCGTGGGATTATAGGCTGAGCCACCGAGCCTGGCTTCAGCCTCTTGAGTAGCTGGGACAACAGGTGTGTACCACCATGCCCAGCTAATTTTTTTGGATTATTTTTCTTGTGGAGCTGGAGGTCTCACTATGTTGTCCTGCCTGGTCCTAAACTTCCGGCCTCAAGCAATTCTCCCGCCTTGGCTTTCCAAAGTGCCGGGATTACAGGCATGAACTGCTGCCCCTAACCCAGGTAACTTTTTATAGTGCATAATTTACAAAACACCAATTAGACTGTATAACAGGGGTCAGCGATTTTTTTTTCTGTAAAGAGCAGATAGAGAATATTTTAAGCTTGCAGGCCACAAGGTCCCTGTCGTCCATTCTGAACTCATTCTGCTGTTTAGCACGAAGACAGCTACAGACAACATCTAACAAGTGTGCATAGCTGTGTTCCAATAACATGTTATTTATGGACACTGACATGTGAGTTGCACATAATTTCCACGCGTCATGAACTATTACACTTCTTTCCGTGTTTTGAAGCACTGAACAAATGCGTAAGCCCTTCCCAGCCGGTGGGCCGTGCAAAAGCAGTGGGCTGCACGGCCCCGAGGACCAGTGGTGTGCCCAGCCCTGCTGTAGACCGTCAAGGCAAAGTCCTCACCGTTTCTTCTGCTGCCCTCCCCGGCCAGGGCAGGGCCTGGGCCTGCAGGCACGCGTGTCTGAGTTCAAGTTCCAGCCTGATTTGACATCGCACTAGCAACAGCAGATACTTCACAGCTGCGGGTTCCATGCCCTTTTGGAGTCATACTTTTTATTGGCACTGCCGTTTTTATCTTAATTCCATCTTATCCCCATAAGTTTCTCAAGTGACTCACCAGGGAACTGGGGAACGGGCACTTGTTGGGGTCAATGTGGCTGTTTTCTGTCCTTGTGCCTCACCGGGGAGATTTAAGAGTCGGGTAGCCGTTCTGGGTGCCTCCGAAGTCCCCCTGCCATAGGCAGGCCTTTGCCCCTCTGGCATCTGGCCTGTTAGTCGAGACTTGGGTCTTGATTGTCCAGGAAAGAGGGCTGCATAGGCTCCAGACCTACTTCCTTCCTAAAAAACAAGCTGCACCGCCTTGTGGAAACTTACGTAACATTTTCACACCCACTGCCTTTCTTTTCCCATCACATTTTTCATTCTCACAAAAATGCTTCAATAGAGGCATGATTATCCGAGTTTAGAGAGGTCAAGTGCTCGGTCTGCAGAAATCACCTCAGCAAACAGGCTTTGAGAATGGCTCTGAGTGGGAACGTGGGAGGGGCTGCCCTCTGTCCATCAAAGAACTCCTGATGGACCACAGGGTGCGCCCAGAAGTCACATCTGGAAGTGCACGCCTCAGTGTGCCTTGTTTGAAACTCCATGATGGAAAAGATAGTACTTGGGCTCCAAGGTGGTTTTTCTGAGCTCGCCTGCAAACTGCAAACTTGGCACGGCCAGGCAGGTGGTTTTAGAAGCAGCAATACCTGGAACCGCCGTCACTCATTGAGCCAGACATGTGGAGGTGGGCTTCCAGAGCTGAACAAGCTCCCGGGTGACTTGGAGGAGTAGTTGGGGCTGAGAACCCTTGGGTTACAGGCTGGGTCGTCTCAGAACCTCCCCCCGGCTGACTAGACGCCAGGGGCCCAGCGCATCCTCTGGCCTCCCGTGCCTGGTCGCCGGCCTGTGCCTCCTCGCAGTCACCAGCCTCCCTCCCCATGAGAGACTCGGCCCTGGACCCCCCCCAAGGGAGTTTCCTATAGCATTGGTCCCCAGGCATGGGGTAGACTGTTCTCCAGGCTCTGACGGCCTTCCGCAATGGCAAGCAGCTGCTTCTGGAGGTGTCCAGCCACCTTTAAAGCACACAGCGACAACTGCTGACGTCACCAGAGGTGTGCGGGGAGGGAGCAGGCGCCACACGCAACCTGGAGCCACTGAAAGTGGCGTGATGCAAACTGCCAGTCTGCAGTCAGACGTGCTCCGATTCCAAACGTTCCATGAGATTTTCATGCTAAGTGACAGACATGGTCACATTTCAAGGCGGCAGTGTGGGCTGCCTCCCACGGTGTCCCCGTGTCTGTCTTCCGTGGTGCCCTTGCGTGTCGCATCCGTCTCCCGTGACCCCCCCCATCGTGTCCCTCTCCTGTGGCGCCCCCGTGTTGTGGCCGTCTTCTGCATCGCCTCCCCCCATGTCATGTCCGTCTCCCATGGTGCCCCCTACACATCATCTGTCTCCCACGGTGCCCCCTTGTGTCTCTTTTGGAAGATGTCAGCAAGCATGAACATAAGACATCTTCTCCCCTTTTTCTTCCAAACGGCTCTCACAATCGGTCTAGCTCCTCAGTGTTTTCACTGCAGCATAAAAACACCGTGAGGCCAAAGGAGTGAGACGGGGATGACACCCTGGCCAGCTGCTCTGCAGAGCCGGCTTAAGGTGAGAAGACACGAGTGACTGAGTTCCCAAGAAGGAAAACCTCAAAGCCCAGTGCCTCATGTTAGTGTGCTCTAAGTTCCTTACCAAAATAACATTATTATTTCTCAAATTACAAAGGACGCCGGCAGCGAAGGGGAAAGAGACTGTGCTCTCCAGCACAGAGGGATTTTCCCACGATTTCTGAGCCTGACGACTTTGAAAGCACTCGCAGCTTCTCTAACTTTAGGATGACCTCGGGAATGTGCTCGTGACATCTTTTACAATTAGACACTAGTGGACACACTTTCTTGGTGCTGAGTCTCAGTTAGGTGCCGGAGTCACTAATTACTTGTATCGATGAGATGGAAAGGCACTGTGGGGAGATCAACAATTGTTTTGGTAACAGGGCCATAGTAAGTGTTAGTGTCTGGCTTTGCATGGGAGATTTTAGCCCGCAAAGCTCTTCCGCGACAACTTGTCACCATGGCTGCCCCAGGAGGCTGAGGGACGCCCTCCCCACAGAGGCCAAGCGTGGGAGGTGGCGCCAGCCTGAAGGCAGTGAAGCAGGAACCGACAGCATCCTCCCTCACGGGGACCCCAGAAGAGTCACGTGTGTAGGTGCCGGGGCCGCTGGATCCCCAAGCCCGATCTCATCCCTTTCTGTACTGCCACTTGCTTACACAGAGCTCACGGAGTGCCCATATTTCACAGGGCTTGTTGGGGGCAGAGGGGGCGCGTAATGGCGGCACATGCAGGTCCTCACCGCTCTGCCTGATCCCATTTCTTGGGAGGAAGGAAGCCGGCTCACAATGGACCATTCTGAAGGTCAGTTTGCAATAAAACGCTGGGCTTAGGTATCCTCCTGCAATGCCTAGGAGAGGGAGGCTATTCCTATTCTTAGCAAGAGAAGCTTCCAGAGCCTCCTGGGCCCCTCTGCCGCCAGCTGGATGAGTCTGTGGGCACTCAGGGGACCGGGTGGCCTCTGTGAACCTGCAGAGTCACACGAGTGGCATGGATGCCTCGCCCCAGGAGGCCTCCTGTCTCCATGCCCTTCGGGCCAGGAGGAGGGCTTGGCCAGGGAGGGGGCCAGTCTGTGCAGGCGGCCCGGTTCAGCTCGGAGCTCTCAGCCTACGGCTTACAGGCCTGGGTTTGCATCAGGTCAGGCTGGACGGCCCGGCCCGCATCTGCCCGGTTGACAGGTGAAGGTGCCGGCCTCAAGGGGGCTTGCATATTATCACTCTGGCCGAGCCTCACAATCATCTGACACTTGACAGGGCACCAAGGAGCACAACCACCCAGGGAAAAGGAAACAAGAACCCGGTCGGCCAGCACCCCGGGGGAACACACCTCACACTCTGGAACCTGAAGCCCAAGCAGCTGCTGCCGCCAGGTCGAACCACCAACAGAAATGCCCGAGAGGGCTTTGCGGGCAGGCCACAACAGAACAATAAACTAGTCAAAAAGAATCGATGACTCCGCCCTCACGGAGAAGCTCATTGGCTTTACGACCCTCATCATTGATATTTTACTAATGCCCGTTAAAGAAAAAATAGGCACATTTTTCAAAATAAGGTTTAAAACAGAAAGCAGCAGACACAAACAGAGTTTCAGGCGTCAGGCAGACAAGGGGCTGAGCACTCACCGCAGGGGCGGGGGGAGTCATGGGAAAGAGACCTCGAGGGTGCCCTGGGGTCACCCAGACTCCGCCAAGGCGAGGACACTCTGAGGTGCGGAGCGTTCAGAACAAGCGGGGGCTCCAGGCCCGCCAAATCCTCTCTGGCGGACCTCGCAGGGCCTGTGTGTCCCTCCGCGGCGCTGTGTGCCCAGCAGCTGGGAGTGGGGTATCCCAGGGTCAGGCCCAGGGACGTCTGACGGGACCCGCCCAAGAGCTGAGGCGCAAGGGGACGCGGGAGGCCGAGGAGTCTGTTTCCTGCTTGCCTCAGATTCTCAGGGTCCTATAAAGTTGGATTTGGGGAAGGACTCTGAGATGCCTCAGCGGAGAGAGCCAGCTAGGCCTCCGGGCGCCTGAGACTCACCCGCACCACGTAGTTGAACCTTCTGGAGTCCAGGATGGCGGTTGAGAAGTCCAGCCTGTTGAAAGCTTCCCCCAGGGTGCAGTACCCGTGGCGCTGGGCGTGAGAACAAGACACAGGGTTACTCCCGCCCATGGGAACATCGCGCCAGAACAGCCACGAGAGCTCTGTGCCGCGATTCGCCCTCCTGGGGCTGAAGCCTGGGCCCGAGTTCGAGTCTGGAGAACTCCTGGAACATGAGGGAGGCCGTGTCCCGAGGGAACACCGAGGCTGGGTACTAAACCGGCTGGATGGGCCGCCCATCTTTACAAGGCGCTTTACAAGCACGCTCTTGTGGCTGCTGCGCGAGCGAGTGCAAGGAGCTCCCCGCAAGACCCCCCGCCCGTGACTTCTGCTTCTTTGACTCCCTGTCGTCCCACAGTCTGACAGCCGGCTAGGGAGGGGCTGTGAGGCAGCACCCCACCCCCACGGAGACCCCATGGTGTGAGTGACACTGCTGCCCATGTCCGCTTGCCCAGCAGGGGGGCGTGAGGCCTGGCATCGCCAAACGCGGGGCCCATGCTCACCTCCTTAGTGCTGCCTTTGTGAACATAGATCCATTTTTCTTGGTGGAAATCTACAGAGACAGAAAATAACACACGGCTTGAAGCCTGCAACATGCTCAAGAGCCTACACATTTCGTTTCTCCCAAAGTTTTAAAGTTCCAAAAAAAGTACAAGACTCTATGGACAGCGTAGGAGGTACAGATGCTTCATCACTGCAGCGTGTAAACAATGGAGCTGGAATTGGCTTTGCCTGAGGCACTCTCAGTCTTTGGGAGTCAGATTTTGTACACCAAAGCGCCAAGGTATTGTTTTCTTTTCTTTTCTTTTCTTTTTTTTTTTTTAAGTTGGAGTCTCACTCTGTCGCCCAGACTGAAGTGCAGTGGTCGCTCCCGGCCACCGCAGCCTCGACCTGCTGGGCTCCGGCGATCCTTCCGCCTCAGCCTTCCAAGTAGCCGGAATTACAGGCATGTGCTACCATGCCCGGCTGATTTTTCAATTTATTGTAGAGATGAGGTCTCGCTGCCCAGGCGGGTCTCGAACCCGCAGGCTCAGGCAATCCACTCACCTCAGCCTCCCACATTATGCTGTAACAAGCACAAAGGTCTAAAATTTAAAGACCGAATACCTAAGTATAAGTTTATTTTAAATGCCAAACCTAAGTCTTAGGCAAGGCCTTAAACAGTAGAAACAGAACAGACGCATGGGAAAACCACGTGGTGCAGATTAAATTAAAATAATTCATGCTGATTAATAAAAGTTTATACTCTCTGCTAATGCTAACATACAGCATCTAGAAATATTAGTAGTATTTATACAAGGGAATAGGGAGAAACAAATTTATGGTCAAAGCTTCAAAACACAGCTCAAAATAAAAGCACACACTAGGCTTGGTCCGGCTGATCACAGCTCCGAGTGGTAACAACACAGCCCACATCAGACACAAGTGAAAAGCAGGAAAAAAGGCGCCCACCAGAAAGTGACTCTGCTCAGATAACCAGGATACAGACAACGTTATAGAATGTTTGTTCCTGCCAGGGGCCTCGAAAGACATTCAGCTGCCTCTGATTTGAGGCGCAGAGGGCCAGTGATATGCCGAGACCCCCAGACACTTGGAGCAGAGTGGGTCTGAGAGCCTGGATGCTACACCTCCAATTCCCTGTGAACGCGCAGATAAAGGTCAAAGCTTCTTTTGCTTTGCCCAGAAGCCTCAAAAACCCTTTTTTTTTTTCAGTTGGAGTCTCACTCTGTCGCCCAGACTGGAGTGCAGTGGCCGCTCCCGGCCACCGCAGCCTCGACCTGCCGGGCTCCGGCGATCCTTCCGCCTCAGCCTTCCGAGTAGCCGGAATTACAAGCATGTGAAACCCTTTTGATGATCAGAGTGAGAAAAGCATTACCAGCGTGGGGCCAGGTGGTGACAAGGTGGCCGCAGGAGGGTCCGAGCCTCCTCCCAGGAGTGTCACAGTCACCAGCCTCCACGACCTCCCACATCTCAGCCCTTCCCTGATAAGCAGCCACTTGTGATTTCCCCAGACTAGTGCGCGTGGGGAGTGAGGCCCCTGCGGCATGAGTCGCCCTGTGCCGTCCATCTCGGTTGCCCAGACAGAAGCCGGTGGCCCAGGTTGCCTCAGGGCACCAGGCAGGCTGTCCCAAGGAAGGAGGTTAGCCTTGCTTGTGAAATGCACGGCCAGGTTTCTGAGTGCAGAGATCCCAGAAGCCTCTGGTAGGGACTGACCAAGGCCGATGTCTAACGAGGGAGGCATGACTTTTTTTTTTCCTTCGAAAACCCATCACCACTCTCTGCAGACAGCATTCTTCTTAGCTCAAAACGAGAGGCTTACACTGGGTTTTGGCTTTGCTGTTCAGCATGTCCTTCTTTCTCTTCTTGGCCGCCACGTCATAGTTCAGGCTATTGAAGAGGTTCTCTTTATCGTATGTCTCCTTGTTGCAGTAACTAGAATAACAAGAGACAGAGGGTGAGCTGTGACAGCTATGCGGCAGTGCAAGCTGTTGCTATAAATAACTGGGTGGGTCACAAAACAGACAGATGTGCTTCTTGAACAAAATAATACCGTGGCCACCCAACACAAGAAAATGTCTACAGGGGCACAGCCTTCGCTCTCGGATGAAGTGGTGTCACATCTGTGTGGAAGGCAGGGACGGGGCTGCTGCCGCTTGTGGATTCCCTCACAGTGGCTGCCACTGTAGCTGTGGACACGGCGCCCCACACTCTCGCTGGGGACAACGCAGGCCACTGCAACATGACTTGCGGCAGAATGGTCCGTGGGGGAGGGCGACTCCTGGCGTCACCGGGACACACAATGTCTGCATTTTGCAAGAGCATCCACTCAAGCTGCTGCTTTTTTTAAAAAAATCTTTTATTGTTTTTTTTGAGTTGGAGTCTCACTCCGACACCCAGGCTGGAGTGCAGTGGCACACTCATGGCCACCCCAGTGTCGACCTGCTGGGCTCCAGCGATCCTTCCGCCTCAGCCTCCCAAGGCTTTTTTTTTTTTTTAAAACAACGAAACAGCTTCACTGAGATATACTTGACGGGCCACACGATCCATCCATCTAAGGGGCACCCCAGCTGCTTTTAACTGGCACGCCCCAGTCGTATCTCTAAAACATGATCACGTCTACCAACATCTGATACACGGACCTCACTGCTCAGAATGTCCAGTCCACGGGGCGAGCTGTACTCCCGGACTGACGCTGGCCACCACACTGCCAGGGGAAAACCTTGGGTCCTAGCAAGGTAGACAAACTTCGTGAGTTTGCAAGGGTGGAACAGACATTGGCTGCACCTGGCTAAATCACGGGCCATCAAAGGGTGTGCATGTCAACCTGCACCTGGGCCAGGGGTGCATTTCGCTCAGGGGTCCAGCTGTCAACTGAGGGGCTGATGAGCTATTCTATGACGTGATGTAACTTTGAAGCGAATCTCTGAATGAGGGGATGCACGAGAGATACTGAGGTGTAATGAGACAGATTCCCCATCTCCCTCGGCCTCCCACAAGGCAGGATTTGTAATGCCAGGTGGCAAACACAAACTAGGCGGGTGCTATTTCCTGCAACACCACCAATACATTATACTCCTTTAGTTTTCTGAGTTCCTCTGCTGAATTTAAAATGTGATTCCACTAGGATCTTTTTTGGCCACACCTCTGTTGGGTACAAGGACGTGCACCGGCACTCCTCTGTTCTCTTGGCATTGTGCAGATGGAGGAGAGAAAAGAGAGTTTAAAGGGACTTCTGGTGTCCTTTTGTTACGACGGTCTATCAAGTGGCACTTCAATCAGCACAGTAAGGATCTACTCAGACGCCAACACATGACATCGCCAGCAGCACCCTTGATGTTGCCTTCCTGGACCCCGGGGGATAAACCTGACGACGGACTGTCCATCATCTGTTAACCTTCCTTCAAGGCCACGCTTAATGCCACTTATTGAGTTTCCAAACAGACTCGGTAGCCTTCTCCTTTCCATTCAGGGAAACAGGATATTTTTGGGTTTCAGATACAGTCCTCTCAGGGGCCCTTTCTTAAGCCAGCCAAGGGCTTCTGGGCCAAGCTGGGTGTGACGTGTGTGCATGTTTGTCTACTCGTATGACTACAGGGGTGTGCAATCACAACCCAGTGGGTATCTGCTCCCGGGTCAGCAGAAAGAGATGGGCGTGACAAGACAAGAGCTCCAAGACCCTGAGGCTGACTTACGAAATGTCTAGGTTGAGAGAAGGAAAAAATGCCGGAAGGTCACTCGAGTGGTCCGAGATGTACCGAAGCCGAGAACAGCTTCAGAAAGCAAAGCCAGAACATTGTGTGTGCAAAAATATCACATGAAGGCTTATTTTTATAGAAAATGCCCCCCCCCAACAACTAAAACCTACCGTATAAATCCCACACACAGAGAGCCATAGTAGGAAGCTGTCTCCTTCTCAATTGCACATTTAAGTTTTAGCAGATGGCTTTCTGAGCTTGGCCCGGAGACTGCAACCATGACTTAGACATTTTACATGCTTATATTTGATCCTATGCTTCTCTGATTGAAAACATTCTTCAAAGGAATTTGAGCACTCCCTTCCTTCACAGAAGCTACAGTAACCTGCTTTAAGCCCCAGTGACTCATCTCGAAAGCTAGTTTAAGAAGGATTTTACATAATCGATGCTCTCTCTCACTGCAGAACACAGAGAAGTTTCAACCACAGAGAAACCCTATGCTTTTCGTTTGGTATCAGGTTTTGGGTTCCCGAGGCAGGCCCTGGAAAGAAGGTCTGCAGGGTTTATTTGTGTTGCCTACTTCTATGTTTTCTTTTAAGCAATAATATATTCAGCTAGAGGCTATTTTGAGAGTGCAATTGTGTCCATCTCAAGGAAATGCAAAGCCAATGGAAAATCACAACCGAGTTTTTTAACAAGAAAAACCACCACCATTTAGGAATTGTAACATCTGACTTTTTAAAATACGCAAAACATCTCAGCGAGGCAGCTTTCCTCACCAAATTCAATCATAGCCAGCACACTGCTACTTTGCAGTCACTTTTTACCAACCTTGATTTTTATAGGCATAGGCCTAGAATAAGAAAAACCCTCCCTCCCCCAGGCCCATGCTACCACATGTCCAGAAACTTTAAGACAACTTTAGAAAAGGTGAAAAGACTTCAAAATAAGACCATAAATATGACTCTTTTGGCAGCAGATAAAGGAGGGATAAAAAAAAAAGAAGCCTGGAGTCTCATTCCATCTGCAATAAAAACCATTTAAGAGGGCCACGACTGGCCCTAGGGGCTTAACTGCAGCCACACGGCAGCCTTGACGAAAGCCTGCGAGATTTCTGTGCTAATTTGTGCTGGTGCGCACCCAGATCGCTGACCTCGCACCGCCAGCGCCCAGGTTGTTCTGGAGAAACAAACAGCCTTGTGTGTAACACAGAACAGTGTCTCGCACACAGTCAGCGCTCATAAAACCTTAACTGTTGTTTGTATCCAGGGTCCCCGGCAAACTTCCTGCTTCTGGGTCCAGGCTTCGCTGGACACCAAAGCCACATCCCAGTGAGTTTTCAGCCACAGAATTGGAGGCCCAGGGAAGAGAGGCTGAGGGTCAGCCGACTTGGGTTACTCACCCTGTGGGCCGGCGGGCGGGGGCTGTCTGTGAGAGCGGCTTGTGGGCGCCGCCACCACTTCCCCAGGCATTCTGGATCTTCCCAAATCGGCCCTTCCTTGAATGTTTAATCTGCTTGACACTCACCGCTCCCCTTGTATGTCATGTAACTTCTGTGTTTTGAGCAGGGGACCTGTTTTAAGCCCATCTGAAATGCCCCTGCGACCCAAGGCTTGGGCACCTGGCTGTGATGGGATCTGTGACGCATGGCTGGTGGAGGAGGGTGGCCCCTGGACCCCAGAGAGGACGGCCAGCAGAGTCCAGGACAGGCGTGCTGTGACTCACAACAGCCCAAGCCGAAACCGCGACGCACCTGCCCGCTCACAAGCAGAAGGGGGCCGGGACCAGGAAAGCCAGTCTACCTGAGCCTGCCCCCGGTGTCCTGTGTCCCAGCCCCTCCCTGCTCCCCGAGGGCCTGCCTTTTGTTTGCTCCTAACAGGAGAGGCATTCAGCTTCACCTGTGTGGGACGGGCTGGGCCCAGACCTGACATCACAGGGAAACAAAGGCCGAAAACAGCGGGACATTGGAGATGCCAAACCCAGACCTCAGAAGGCCAACTGCTCTTAAGGAGTTGGCAGCCGTCGGGTGCTAAGCGGGGAAGGGATTGTTTACCATTGCTGGAAAAAAAATACCCTTCAAACAAACAGCCAGCTCACAGCTACCACGTGATTCCTGAACGCTGACTCAGAGGCCCACAGGTGGTCACCGCATCGGCCACTGCGTGGTCATGGTGATGAGTGTGACTGCAGCTCGGCGGGAAGTGGGAGGAAAGGGGAGGTTCGCCAAGGGGACACCAGGGCGGAAGCGCCCACCCCAGCCTACTCAGGCGCTGGTGTGAGTTGAAGCCCCTCCAGGTTTTCCTCCCATGGAGGCAGGGAGCCCGCCTGTCGTCTAAAAGGGACGCTGCCCCGGCTCTCTGCTGGGCCGGCCGCGGTGTGCCTCACACGGCTGACGCTTTCAAAAACGCTCCCGACGCGGTCCCCGCGGAGGCGCAGCCCCCATCCCATCTGGGCGAGCCACCGACTGCGCGTGAGACCTCCGCCGCCCCTTCCGGAGAATCCAAACCTTGACACAGAGAACCCAAATGTCACACGTTGTTTGAACAGGGAGGAAGGCAGCTTCCCATCTTGTTGAGGGAGAACCCCTTAGTCCTAACTGGTCACTCCAGGGCCGAAAGACAGTGACAGGGCTCGCCTTCTACTTTTCTGCAAACAAGGCATCTGACTCTCGGTGAACACGAGGTCTTCGTCATGCTCCCTGGACTCCCGGGAGCCTGCATCCCAGTGTCTTTCCTGACAGACCCCCGGATGGAATAACTTCTCTTTCTTCAGGGGGAGACAAAGACAGTGAGACGCATTTCGAGTCACCAGTGGGAGGTTCTGAGGTCAGGCTGCCCACACCACTACATTTTCCGGACGGTTTTCTTAAAACTTACTGCCAAAGCTTCATGCAAACAACCGCTGCTGAGTCTCAGGAACTGGGAACCGGCCCAGTGGCAGACTCTCCACTGAAGTCCATCTGGGGCTGTCGCCGCTGGTGGCTCTGACCACAGGCAGCAGGAAAAGGCGCCCAGCGGTGACCCCGGCTGCACCACCCCCTTGGGGCTCCCTTCCTCGCCCCCCTCGCGGGGTGGCAGGCCAGTCTGGGAGTCCAACCGTCAGGCCAGGCGTCGGCAGAGTCCGGACCACCTGGCCCCTCAGGCGGCTGGTGGTCAGCCCAGCCCAGCCGGGCCGGGACCTCAGGCTTCCTCCAGAGGGCAGAGCTGGGGGAGCTGGGGTGGGCTTCGGGCA